AGTCAATGCGTGGACAGCTGGATGAGGCCAAGGGTTCACTGTAAGGTTCCTCCCCAGTAACTTTCGCATCTTTCTCCTTATCTTCTCTCTGCTGCCAAAATCCCGAGGCTTTGCTCCTAAGCTGTTTCCACTTAAAAAAGCCTTCAGCTTGTCCAGAAAAATTAATTGGGAAGGGGAAGAATATGTCCTCTTCTATGGTTTAAAAACATAAAAATAAGTGCTCTGTGCCTTCTGCCAGCTGGCATGAGCCTCCTGTCTTGGGTCTCCAATATCCTCCCTCCTTTGACCCAGGGTCAAATCTAAACTCCTTACTTGGGCCCATAAAGTCACTTCTGTTCACCCCTTCAGCATCACATACATGCCCCATACAACAGGTCCTAAAATAATGTTGTTTTGCTCAATGTTATTTCACTACAATGTTGATGGAGTGGGGGGGATTTTGATTCTGTCTGTGTCGATTTTGCAGGTTCTCCCCATGTTGGTGTGGGTTTTCTCTGGATACTCAGGTTCCCTCCACATCCCAAAGATATACATGTGAGTGTAAGGTAGCCAGGCGCCGCAGGTGGGAGGTGGGAAGAAACCGAAGAGCCAAACAGCCGAATAAGCAGAAATCGGGCTTTATTGGGTACACTCCGGGCGGGTTCACAGACTCCGGGGGTCGAGTCCGAGAAGCCGCGCCCGATGCTGGGGTTTGTGATTTTTATATCCACGCCTATGGCAGCGGGAACTTGTTGTTAGGGTTAGGTCCTGAGGGGCTACGCATGGGGGCCCCTGGAATGTGAGTCTATTGTCCCGGAGCAAACAGTTCCTGGACTAGGACAGGAGAATGGGACAGGAGTTGATCTATGAGTTCGGGGCAAACAGTTCCTGAAACAGGGTGGGAGTTTAGGTTGGGTAAGCGAGGTAATGGCTGAACAGTTTGCCTGGCGCCAGTTCCCAGGCTCTTGGACAGTGAGATGAACTGGCATGGCTAAACTGTCCCAGTCTGAATGAGTGTGGGTGTGACCAGCCCTGTGATGGAATGGTGGTCTGTACAGGGTGGGTTTTCTCTTGCACCCTGAGGCTAGGCTCTGGCTACCCATGATCCTGAACTGGAATAAGAGAGTTGGAAAATAATTATCCTACTTGTTTATATTAATCTTTCTTAAATGTATACATAGCTCACATTTGTTTCAATGTTTAATATTAGAAGTGTTTTACATCATTATTTAAAAGTTTGGTGATCATTTTGTGACCAGAAATATGCCTAAGGAACTTAAATCTTGTTTATATCAAGTAGCCTATGATGAAATTGGTTTTATTATACATCTCTTCACTTAAAGTCACAGTTTTCAAGAAACTATGGATGATGTTGATGTAGGCCTTACTGTATATATCATGTCACCAGCCTTGTGATTGCTTCATTTTGACTTCATTTATTAATTTCCTAGGGCTGCCACAACAAAATACCACAAACTGGGTGGCTTAACTAACAGAAATCTACTGGCTCACGGGTCTGGGGGCAAGAAGAAGGGCATCGGGTTTCAGCAGGATTGGTTCTCAGGGTTATGATGGAAAAGTTTGTTCCATGCCTCTCTCCTAGCTTCTGATGGCTTGTGAGCAATCTTTGGCTTTCCTTGAAATGTTCTCCCTGTGCGTGTCTTACCAAGAATCAAAATTCAACTGAGTACATTTTAAAGATTGTAGTGGCTTTATTCAAAGATTCATGAACCAGGCAGCATCCAATCTAGCAGCTAGAAAGGAGCTCTGAAGAAATATACAAGGCAAGAGATTTTATAGGCAGAAGAGAGCAGGAATAAAGAAATTATACAAGGCAACGAAGCAGATTGGGTATTGCAAGTTTATTTTCCTTATAGGGGCTGGCAGGGGTCTATCAGGCAGATTGCCTAACTAATGCTGATCAGGTGATTCCCTACTGACTGGTATAAGACTGCATTTCTAGGGAGTGTTAAATGATTCAGTCATTATAGAGGACAGTATGGCAACATGGAACCATTATATGAGCCAGCAATTCCACTTTTAAGTATCTATCCAAATGAATTGTATTAACCTAAAAATAAAGGTCAAAATGAGAGGAAACAGGCATTTATTTGAGATCCAAAAGAATAGCTATTTGGCAAGCACTCATTTAGGCAGAAATCCAAATAGTGTCCAATTAGGAGGCAAAGGTAAGGGGTATTTATGAGAAAGGGAAATTATTGTATCAAGAGAAGGAAGGCATTTCTATCAGTACAGATAAACTAGTATAGTGATGCTAATTCCAAGGAAAGTTTTTATTCTTCAGATAGGTAGTCATAATATTAGCTTTCTAGTTATCTTTGCAAACAGTGGTTTGGGATACAAGGCTGCTGTGGCCCAGTTCAAAGGTTATTTTGCCCAGTTTTGACATTCCAAAGGTTGGAAGAGTAAGAGATACAAGGCAGTCCTTGTGGTGTGGAAGCTCTGACTCCCTTTTAGAGTGACTTCTTTTAGATTATTTTTCACAATTGAAAGCACAGACTTCATAACGCAGAAACTTTATTTCTTTAACATGACCCTTTCTCCTATATATCTGTTCCCTCCCTTCTTTCATCATTAAGTCGTTAGGACATCAGATTCTGATCAGCATCAAAGTCTTAAGAACAAAGTTTCAGGTCTGTTGACCACAGAAACAGTGTTTTTGTCACACTAAAGATAATAATACGTCAGCTGTGTTTCAGCCCCAGGCCCACATTGACTCTACCAACCACACCCTCACTGACCTAGACAGAATGACATCACGGCTGACATCAGGACCTGATCCAAAGGTCATCTACTCCCTGGTCCCAACCAATCAGTAGAGCCCAGGACCCCAACTCACTTAATCACCATGATTAATAATTTTTCCCATATATAATCTGTCCCTGTGAGGGCCATCTGGGAGCAAGATATTTTAACACAAGCTCACCTGTGACTCTAGACTTGCTGCCATTTCCCTAAAAATAAACCTTTGCTTTCTTTGCAGCAAATTCCTGTTTACATTTGATTGGTATTTGATGCACGCAGGCAAACAAACCACTTTAGTTTGGTAACAACTTAAAAAGATACATGTACACCACATTCAAGAAGCATTATTCACAATACCAAAAGGTGGACACAACCTGATGTCCAGTGATGGATGAATGGGCAAAGAAGATATAATATATACATACAAAGGAATATTGTTCAGTCTTAGGAAGGAGCTTCTGCCCTGGTCTAGGTTGCAGGTTTGATCCCCGCCCCCCCTTCCAGTCAGGGCACATACAAGAATCAACCAATGAATGCATAAGTAAGTAGAACAACAAATCAATGTCTCTCTCTGTCTCTGTGTGTCTCTCTCTTCCTCTCTCTAAAATCAATCAATCAATAATTTTTAAAAAAAAATATTACTGCTTGAAAATTAAAACAACAATGAGGTATCACCTTATACCTGTCAGAATGACCGCCATCAGACAAGTGCTGGCTAGCATGTGGAGAAAAGGGGACTCTAGTACACTGCTGGTAGGAATGCAGACTGGTGCAGCCACTGTGGAAAACACTATGGTGTTACCTCAAAAAATTAAAAATTAAACTGCCATTTGACCCAGTGATCCCACTTCTAGGAATATACCCTAAGAAGCCTGAAACACCAATCTGAAAGAATATATGTGCCACTATGTTCATAGCAGCACTATTTACAATAGCTAAGATCTGGAAACAGCCCAAGTGTCCATCAGTAGATGAGTGGATTAAAAAGCTGTGGTACATATACACAATGGAGTACTATGCAGCTGTAAGAAAGAAAGATCTCTTATCCTTTGAGATGACATGGAGGGACCTGGTATTATGCTAAGCGAAACAAGCCAAGCAGAGAAAGACAAATATCACATGATCTCACATATTTGTGGAATATAATGAACTAAACAAACTGATGAACAAAATAGACCCAGAGACATAGAAGTAGGGTACAGACTGACAAACCTCAGAAGAGGAAGTGGTGGGAGGTGGGGAGAGGTAAACCACAGAACTTATATGCATGCATTCATAACCAATGAACATAGACAACAAAGCTGGGGACAGGGGGTGGGGTGTCAATGGGGGGAAAAGGAGAAACATCTGCAACAAAAATGAATTAATAAACATATTTTTTTAAAAATCAATAAAAACATTTTTTTAAATGATTAAAAAATATTACTGCTTGAACTGAATTTTAAGAAAAGGAAAGAACTTCTGACACATGCTACAACATGGATGAGTCTTGAGGACATAATGCAAAGTCAAGTAAGTCAGTCGCCAACAGACAAATATTGTATAATGCCACTTACATGTGAATCTAAAGTACTCAAATTCATAGAGAGAGAGTAGACTGGTGATTGCCAAGGTCGTGAGGAAACGCGGACTGGATTCGAATAATTTCTGATCTTCTGAGATTCCACGTCTGAACAAAGTGGACTTAGTTCTCATGATGACCGGAAAGAGAGCGGCAGGTGACGTCTCCATCCGTTCGTTGTGGTTCTCACAGCCCCAAAGCCCAGCGCTTCTGTCTTGCGTCTGGCTCTCTTCACTCTTCTCCCCACCCACCCCATGCCGCCCACCTTTCTTTCCACTCCTTTCCGCACCCTCTTTCCCTTCTCCGGTGATACCTCGCACATCCACAAGTTCAACACAAACCGTGCAGTTTCTCTTTAGAAAAATTCGTGCCTCAACGCAGACGAGAGTCAGCGAAGACACAGACGCGGGGTGGACCCTCCAACTCCACCAGCAGTGAGATCGGGCGCCCAGCTTCTAAGGTCGGGTCGGGACGCGGCTGGTGCTCGCTCCTCGCCGGGAACAACCTCCTCACTGTTGCTGCAGGAGCGGGTGGCGGCCGCCAGCGCCGCCGGGGAGCCCCGGCTGCCAGGGTCGGATCGGGTGACCAAGCAGGCGTGCGCCTGACAACCGGGCTGGACTCCGGGCTGACAGAGGGCCCGCCCCGGCCCGCCCCGGACCCGCCCCGCTCTTCAAGGAGCCTGACTCCTGCGCTCGCCAGGTTCGCCTGCACTCGCGCCCACTCCACGCACGGCAGGATGCGTCCCGGAGCTGCACCCACGCCGGCGCTCCGGCTCCTCGCGCTGGGCGCGCTGCTGTGGCCGGCGGCCGGCGCCTGGGAGCTCACCATTCTGCACACCAACGATCTGCACAGCCGGCTGGAGCAGACCAGCGAGGACTCAAGCAAGTGCGTGGACACCACCCGCTGCGTGGGCGGCGTGGCCAGGCTGTACACCCAGGTGCAGCGGATCCGCCGCGCAGAGCCCCACGTGCTTCTGCTCGACGCGGGCGACCAGTACCAGGGTACCATCTGGTTCACCGTCTACAAGGGAGCTGAGGTGGCGCACTTCATGAACGCCCTGGGCTACGATGCCATGGTAAGCCGGTGGCTAACGCGGAGCCCCGGGGTAGGAGTCCGGACGGAGAGAGAAGCCGGGTGGAGAAGGAGCTGATGGCACGGCACGGGGTGGAAGTCTAGCACCTGGGAGCGATGTGGGGAGAAAGCAAGACTGGCCGGTGTGCCAGGCAGCTACAGACACAGAAGTCTCTTGGATGATGCGTCTTACGTGTATTGAAGTTGAGCTCCCGCCCTGAGATTTGGGTATTTAGAGGAGCAGGACCCAGCCCTGTTTATTAGAAGGTTCAGCTGGGGTGCGTCGGAGTTTGACAACTATCCAGTGCCAGGGACCCAAGTAGACCTGTCAGCATCTCTCATTTACTGCTCCAACAATCAAAGAATGCTTTATCTCGATTTTATTGGAAAGAAAACTCGGGATCAAAGAGGTTGAGTACATTATCCTGGGCACCAGCACCAAAAGAGGGAGACTGGATAAATGTGGATTCTAGCCCTTTGACATTGGAGTTTGACCTTGATTGAGTTCTCAGCCTTGGGTTAGAGTCCCTGCTCAGCTACCTCACGTGTTCAAGTTAGTTACTCTCTCAGTGCCTCAGCTCCAGCCTCTGTAATGCGGGGATAAGAACTGTATCTACCTCACAGGGTTGCCTAGCATATAGTATATGCAGCCTCTATAATGTTAGTTCTTATTTTTAACAGACACTGCTGTGTAAATGTAAGAAAAGAAACTTCCAGAGGCTCAAAATGCTGAAAACCCAGGGGTTTCGAAGGATTTCAATAAAATCAGGTTAGCAATAGAGATTTAGGAAGAGTTCGATTTAAGAGATGAAGGACTCTTAGAACATGTGCAAGAGTTTAAGTCCAAGCTCCCAAGTGCTCTGTTATAGATGATGCCTTATTTGTTGGACTGAATTTTAGAGAAGTAGCAGAGGTGGGTTACACAGTAATAAATAAGTATAAGCAAAACATGTATGGTTTGTTTGTTTAAGCAAACCACCACCACCCAAATGTAACCCTGTGTAAAATCCTAGAGGAAAGGAATTCTGTGGAGACACTGGGAACAAGAAATCTTAGGAGCTTCAGAAGAGAAAGAACAGAGCAAGGGTCCAGGGAAATCTGTGAAGTCCACACCCGTGGAAGGGAAGGAGGGGTGTGGTCCAGTCTGGGATACAGAGGCCTAATAATATACTTTGTACCAGAAGAGCACAGAGGTCAGCAAAGCACAATGTTGTATTTTTTCCTGGAAACTTGGAGAAAGGGGGACAGGAAAAGATGATAAGAGGGTAGAGTTGTTTAGTTTTGGTTTTTTCTTCAATAAGAAAGCTTGTTTCAGAGGGATGAGAGATAGCTACTCTCCATTATGACTGTTGGATTTAAGGTTATCAGAACCGCGCGAAGCAGCAGCAATTCAAAGGGATCCCTAAATCCCAGAGCTTATCTGGGGGGCTCACCAGCCTCTGGACTCCACAGAAGAATTGTGAGTTTCAAGAACTCTGTGTGGTCTCAGCCTTGGTGTCTCCACAGCTCCACCTGTCTGATGCTTTGCACACGGTAATGGCAGAATAAATATTTATCTAATTACATTGTTATTAGCCTACTTCTCTATTTCCCCTCCAGAAGGGTAGAATAAACCTTACATGAGTTTGTTTTAATTTCACATATAAACCACAGCTTTGTAAACTTTTCTCTTTGTGATACCCTTTTCTCTACAGTTATGTCAACTCCTTTTGGTGGGGAAAGGGGTTGGAAAATTCATAGTTTTCTGTAATGATACTGTTTTCCCCTTAAGCCAAATTGAGCTTGTGGTGTTACTCATCTTACAAGTGTTTATACAGGACTCTGGTGGGAATGGGACAATCTGCAAGTTCTAGCCTAACACCACCAGAAATGTTTAGAATGCTTTTTGCTGGATGGAGGTATACTTATGTAGTTGGCAGGGTGCAAAGAGGGTGAGGAGCTCCAACAATAAGTCTGGCTGAAAGCCACCTTCCTGAAAACATCTCATCAGGACTTTGTGCAAGTCTAGAGTTTGGCAAACATAATTTGACCTGCCTAAAATCCTTGTAATGCTTTAGCATGTGCTAAAACTCTGCCATATTTCTGTTTTACAGGAATTTTTTACTGTCATTTTGTTTATACGCCTCTCAGGGAATTTATTAATGTTCTGCTGTGAAGGTTCCCCCACCCACCCGCCCGCCACATGTTGAATCTCAGGAAGCTGGAGATTCTGATTAGTGAAAAACAGTTGTGGAGGGGAATCTCCAGTTCTCTAAAAGCTGGACCTAGTTAGAGGAGCCGCAGATAAGGACTCAGGGGTGTGGGTGGCAAAGAGGAAGTTACTAGAACCCAGCTAAACCCTAGGAGTTCCCTCCACACTAGTGTCTGAGGAAGTGTAGACTTCCTAGACCTGCTGCATCCCGTGAGCGCTGCTGGAGCCGTTCTGACAGCCCTGGAGGCCCCAGGAGACTGCAGACCTCCTGGACCTGCTGCGAGGCAAAAAGCTCTAGAGGGAGGATGTCGAAAGCAGTGGAAGGACTGGTGTCCCCAGACAGCAGGACGACAAGGTGGATGCACTCACAATGTGAGTGAGACCAGGTTACTTCCTCCGACCTCAAATTCCCTACCTGTAAAACAGGAGGGATAACCCCCACCATGCACATAGGATTTTTGTGACCAATACATGTGATAATTAATGCTGACTTATAGTAAGTGCTCAGTAGAAGTTCATTCCCTGTGTTATGCAAAAAAAATGGGGGGGGGGTTGTTGAGAGAAAGGGAAGGCTTGGGTTTTGCAGCTATCAGTTTATCTGATTGGGACAGCCTGGCACAACCTACCTTCCTCCTCCATCCCCTCCACCATCTTTTCTAAGTCTCGTTGTCTAAACTATCCTTAATGTGCACTCATTGAGCAGACTTATGAACTATGCCCCCCTTTCCACCAAGCACAAAGCCAAATGAATTCATCTCCGCAAGTGAGAGTCTCCCCAAGGAGGTGGGTGGGCTGAGGGAGATAAGGTCAGCCTCCTCTCTAGCTGCCCCTGATTCTGAGGCCCTGGCCCCTCAGCTCACTTTCTGTCCAAAAGACTGCAGCCTGAGCCCTGACAAATTGCTCCAGGGTGCCTGAGCCAGCCCCTGGGGTGGGGACAGTCGCCCCTGTCTTTAATTCACCCAGGGAACCCCTAGTCAAGTAACCACACCCCACGTAGGCAACCATTCTAATACATTAGATGTTCATGCTTTGTTTCTGTGTGCACTTGCAGACCCTTTGTTGTTGTTTGAGGTGCTTGTATTTTTAAACTATGTTACTCACCCTGTTATTCAGCTCATTTGGCTTCTTTGTCCTAAACTGGTTGTACGATTTGTCCCTGTCATTCTTTGTCTACCATGCACGTACATATACTGTGCATTGTGCTTCACAGAGACCTCCACAGACTTTACCATCTCCTCCCGCCCAGAGATGGGTCCACTTGGAGATCACACAAATTATGCTGCCAATTCCTCAAGAATGCTGCTCCAAATAGCCTCCTGCAGGTCCCACCTGCGAGGACTTCTTTGGGATCTATGTGCAAGGGCAGGGTTGCTGGCCACAAGCATGTGTATACTGACTTAGACTAAGGCCTGCCTGATTGCTTTCCTGGGTGACTGGATCCACCACCACTCCTGATCCCCGCCAGCCTCATCCTCACGAGGATGTGAATCCCATATCCTTACCGATTCTTTGCAGCACTGTCCAGCTTTCCAGTAGGTATAAAGTGGCATCATTGTTTGATCTTGTATTTTCTAATAAATCGTGAGTTTGATATGTTTGTTGACTTTTTCGGATTTCCTCTTCCCTAATTGCATGTTCACATTCTTTACCCTTTTTGTAAAATTGAGTTTGCTCTATATTTCTTAATTTTCAGAAGTTCTAGGTATTGATCTGTGATCAATTTTAAGCTTTAAAAATATCTTCTGATTGTGTTACGTCTATTAGCTTTATCTATAGTGTCCTTAATTGAACAGAAATCCTTCATTTGATGTAATCAAATTAATCTTTTTTTTTTTTGCCTTGTGGTTTGTGTTTTTGAAAGTTTACAAGAGTTTATTAATTTGGAGCATATTACCTCTCTGCCTTTTGAGGATGATAATTTATAATCTGGGGCTGTGACATCACCTCTCCGAGTCACTAGCTTCTCATCTGTAAAATAAAAGGTCTGAGCCAGCTCATTTTTGAGGCTCCTCGCATCTCTAAACAGATGGTGTTCCTAAGAAATGTTTCGATTCATTTAAAGGGTAAGAGGAGGAGGCAGAGGTGCAGAGGCAGGAACCTGCACGGTGCACCAGCCCGGACCATGGCGAGTGGCAGCAATCCAGGAGCTGAGGCTGGGTACAGCTTACAAGCCACCTTGAAGAGCTCGGGCTCTCCTTTGTTGTCAGGGGCCCCATGGGAAGTTTCTGGGGAGAGCCTGACTGTGGGGAAAAAATGAAATATTTGGTCTTTATCCCCAGTTCCTGGGAGTGTCTTTTATATGCTAACAAGATGACTGATGGCTGGAGACCCCTAGATAGTTTCAGAATGAGGGCTGGTGGCCAGAAAGACCAAGCCATGATTAGAGTGTTGGAACTTTCAGCCTCCCTTCAACATCCTGGGGTGGGAGAGGGACCAGAGATTGAGCTGATCACCAATGGCCAATGATTTAATCAATTGTGCCTTTGTGATGAAGCTTCCACTAAAAATCCCTAAGTGATGGGGTTCAGAGAGCTGCTGGGTTAGTGAACACATTGAGGTGCTGGGATGGTGGTGTGTCCAGAGAGGGCGTGGAAACCCCCCCCCCCCCACTCACCCTTTACCTCCTGCATACCTTGCCCTATGCATGTCTTTCCGTTAGCTGTTCCTGAGTTGTATCCTTTATAACACACCAGTAACAGTAACTAAAGCACTCTCTTGAGTTCTGTGAGTCGTTCTGTGGAGGTTTGGTAGCTGACTGGTCAGAAGTAGGTGGCCCAGAACTGGCGACTGGCATCTGACGTGGGGGCAGTCTT